CGAGGGCGGGTTCGGAGGCGGATTTGAGGGCGGTTTCGGGGGCGGACATGTCAGTGAAGGGATCGGCGGAGGGTACGGCGGACACAGTGAGGGGATCAGCGGAGGCGGCGATATAGGAAACAGCTACGAGAGCTACGGAGGAGGAGACGGAGGTCATCAAGGCTACGATTAAGTTAACTCATTTTCTCTCTCTACAAATGTCTACTAGTCCTTAATTTAGCGCTTTTAATCTTATTTTATTTTTGTTGATTTTACACTGTTGTTAATTTGTTGTTTTTTTTGTAATAAAAAGAAAAATCTCGAAAAAAATAACACGTTTATTGCTTCAAAATGGTTTATATTTACAACAAGAACAAGTAAAAAAGAAAATAAATACAACAAGATTATTTCACAAGGTTAAAAAAGTACTATGGTACTACTTATTTCGATGGCGAAAATAGACACTTTCCCCCCACAGTGAAAAACAACACAAAAAAACAAATTGAAATATTTTTACAATCACAATTAACAAAAAAAACTTTTGTTATAACAATTGTTATAAATAATAAAGTCAAAATACTTTCCCCTTTTAGGTCAGAAAGCTGTTACTTTTTCCTCAGTAAATCACTATTTATTTAAGCAAAAGCTTAAAAAATTGATTTTATTTCTCTAAGTAAGAAAAATAATCAATTTTGTAACTACTTAACTAAGAATCTAAAAAACTTGTTTAAAATGTGAGCAAACAAAACGCTTTCAACACTAAAAAAAACTTTCAAATTGGAATTAGTTGTCGATAACATGTTTTCTTCATTTATAGAACAAAAAACTACTTACCTGTAAACCAAAAAAACTCATTTAAAATATGCCGGAAGTACGTTTTTCTACTCTAGTAAAAAAGGAAATTTTGTTACTAAAGTTACAGAGCAATTTTTTTTTTAAATTTGACGATAAACTCTAAAAATCATTTTTTTTTCTTCGTGCAAGTTATAGAAATTATAATTTTTTTCGTCTTTGGTTTAAGCAGAAGATGAAACAGTATCCTTCTTCTGTTCTAGAAAAAAATAAAAGAATCGAATAGAACAACTGTTCAAGAAGTAAAAAAGCTTTTTTGTTCAAGCTTTAAGAAATATTATAGGAAGAAGAAAGAAACTCTTTCTACTCCAGTGAGAGAAAAAATAATATTCTTGAAGACAAACTGAAAATAACAGAAGCTTCCTGATACCTAAAAGATGGAGAAAGCCGTTGTTTGAAAAAAGTCTTCATCTGTGTGAAGAAATTGTCTAAAATGTGACAAAAGCGCTGTTTCTGACCTAGTGAGTAAAAGCACTACTTTCGTCCATTGTTGACCTAAAAATCAACTTTTGGAAGGCACCTTTTTTTCTTTAACGTTCGTATAATCTCCATATTCATCCAAATGGTCGTACTCAGGATCAGTCTTGTATTTTTCAAACTCATACTCTATGGAAGGGTTAAAATGGTCATGATCATTCTCATTTTTTGCAACCTCGTAATCGACGTCATTGTACGTATTTTTGGGTTCTTCCTGTAAAGGAGCAGATGAGAAATCAGGATTATTATTGTTCTTTTTCAAGTAATAGTCGACAAGATGGACACTTTTATGGAAGTCATAATCGGACGATGGTACTTTATAGGAGTACTCAATTTCTTTCGGCTTTTTTTTCTCTTCCGGTTTATCTTTTTCGAATTCTTGAATGTGTTCAAGTGGGAAAAAGTCCTTATCGTTTTTGTAGTAGTCGTACTCAGGAGTTGGTCCTTTGTAGACATAGTAGTACTCCTTTGGTACTTTCTTCTTCTCTCCTGATTTAGGAAAAGGGTCGTGCTTTTGGTTCTCATAATCTACAAGTTTCTCGTTTTTGTGATAATCACTCTCGATGTCAGCTGATGGGTACAAGAATTCCCGGTCGTACCCAATCGTAGTGTCCTCAAATGGTAATTTTTCCCTCACTTTGTAACTACTTTTGACAATGTACTTGTTCCCTGGATAATCACTGTGTGGATTATCGACCGTTTCAGTCTCGTACTTCTCACTCCGGAGAGTTTTCCAGGATTTGGCTTTGGAGTACCCATCATGGAAAAACGGCTGATAATTAAACGGCCCAAACTGGTACTTGGCCTTGCCTTTGTGGTCCTTGTGATGGTGCATCTTCTTTGGTTCCTTCTTATCGTGCAAGTAGACATAATTGGTGTGCGTGTGCTTGTGCACCAAATTCGGTACTTTGATACTGATATGCACCCTGGAACCCAATCTTATCAGACAAAACTGGGGGAGGAAAGTGGGAAATTACTTGTCTTTGGCGCTTTCACTGCTTTCCACCCACAATCCGACCAACAAAACACAAATCACGTTCCAATACATCACGATCGCATGGTTCGACTTGCACTGTTTTGAATTTTGTCATCGCAACATTTTATAGCAAAAATTCGTTCCTGCGATTGCGGTTACGTCCAACAAGAGAAAAACGAGCGATTTGTCACCGTTTCCTAGTGAAGCAGCAAAAACGCTTCCGGACTAAAGCAAGAACGAATCGTTTCGACATTGGAATTTGGTGATAAAGAGTTCTGAAGAATTTTCGGATCGGTCAATAAACTCCAAAATTGGGAAATCAATCCATCGCGGAATCCACACTATTGATTTCACATGGAAAACTTCCGAGTTTTTCAATTCGTTTAGATCGAGTTTCAATTAGGAAAATAATAGGACTTTCACTCGGGCAAAAATCCGATTTTTGAAATATTGTTATATAAAATTATTATTGCGTCAAGTAAAAACTTTGATATTTTAATAATTTCGCTCAAAAACTAAATCGTGTCGATAGCAGAACAATTGCAAGCTGTTTTAATTAGTAAAACCGCGATACCGGCAGCCTAATTCTTTTATTTCAAAATTTGCCGTGAATTACTGACTCAGGAGAAACAAATTTAGATTAGATGCAATTAATTAAAAATTGGCGAGTTGGGTTCGACTGCACTTGTTGCACGAAATGTGAGGATTAATTAATTAAGAGTTAAGTGAAGCAGAAAGTTACTTTCGAAGTTGTGAAGTAAATTAAAAATTAGGAAATTAATCGACAAGAAACGGAAACTTTTTATTCGTGAAGAAAAAAGGAAAAGCTTGGTTAGGAAAGAGATCTTGTTTGTTGGAGTCGTATGAAATTTTAGAAAAGAAAAAACTTTAAAAAAATTGAAAATTTTTGTTTCTTGGAAACAAAACGAAATACAATTCTAAAATAAATAATTCAAAAATGCTAATCTCGTTTATATACAAGATCGGTAAATATTTATTAAAAAATAAAATAAAAAGCAGATTTGTGTAATCGTTAAATTTATTTTTAAATTTATTAGGATACAAGTACAGGGTGCGCCAGAACTAGCGCCCCAGACACCAGGAACATGAAAAAAATGTTAAAAAAATTCTTTGTATACAAATTTCGAAGTAATGAGAGTTTAAACTTTGATTCTGTTCTGTTGGAAAAATAATTTTACAAGTTTTTTTGCTACAGCTTGTTAGAAGAGGAAACAAGGAAGCTATATTCTAAAATTGTAACTCTGTTTAATGTTATTTGTGCCTTTTATTGGCTAAATTATTGTATCTTTACTAAATAATTATAAAAAAAGATTACAAGATCATCAGCATCATTAAATAGACATAAAACAATATCAAATGTCAAAAAATAAATGTCAAAATTTTTTTTCAGCTAGAATTTTTTAAATATTTCTGGTATCTTATCTTACTTGAAATTTTTCTGTAGGGCGCGAGTTCTGACACAGCCTGTATATAGAACTAAAAGTTTTTTTTAATCAATTCACATCAACTTTTGAATCTACCAAATTGCCTTTAATTTTTCTAATTTCTGTTTTTCTAACATAATTTAAATTGTGTTTAATTTTTTACACCTACTGTTTCGTTTATTTTATTTCTTACTTCTTAATTTTTTTCATCTATGCAGTGTTCTAAACTTGATTTTTTTTATTAGGAAGTAAGGTTCTTGTGAATTGAAAATTAGGTTGGCAATTTTAATAAATTTAAAAACCAAAAGATATGAAACTTGTCGATTTTCACATATTTTGTTCTTAATATGTTTTCCAATCGATAAGAAATTTAATTTAGTAATTAGTTATCATAATTTATAACATTTCTCAATATCAGTTTATTCAATTTTTTTCGTTAGTTTTGTATAATTTTCTTACTTTTTCTATCTCACATATTTTTTTAATTCTAATTCTTCTGCGAGGGGCAGTTAACATTAGAATTAGTTGTACAATTTTTTTAATAGAAACTACTTATAATTACTGGAATTTTTTGTGAATTACAGGAATTTTTCTGGAATTACTGAAATTCTTGTTAGGATTATGAGAGATAATTTCTTTTCAAAATTACGCTGTATTTATTAGAAATACAGAAATTAAGTTCGAATTCTAAGGATTAATTTGAAATTATAAAAATTAATTTCAAAACAATGAAATTACTGGAATTTCGGTGGAATTTTTTTTAAATTACTGGAAATCTTTTTGGAATAATTTTTGGATATTTTCTTTTCAAAATTACGTCGAATTTCTTATAACTATCAGAATTAACTTGGAATTACAGGAATTATTTTGGAATTACGAAGTTGATTTTTTTTTGAAAAAATTTGGTGAAATTTTTTTGGAATTGAAATTAGTTGTCACATTATTTTCAAGTTAACGGCCCCTCAGTGTTTTTCATTATCTAAAGGTATTTCACTTTCTAACTTTTTCTCGGAATCTTCCATTCCAGGTTTTTTGTTCCTCAAACCAGCTTTTCTTCAACTTACTTAATTTTTAACTCTTTACTTAAACTTTTCAGTAGTTTTTATTATTTTACCTGAATAATATTTAGTTTTCTGTCTCCCATTCACAACTTTTTACTCTCAAAACTGTAAAATAAAAAATTGCAAATTTTTTGAATCATAAAACTAGAGATACAAAATCATGGTGAATTTTTTGTTTATAATTTAGCTAATTACAAGAATATCGGTGAAAATTTTTTGGAATTGAAATTAGTTGTCACATTATTTTCAAGTTAACGGCCCCTGAGTTTTTTTAACTATTTACAGTTTTAAACTTTTTCACGGAATCTTCCCTTGCAAATTTTGTGTTCCCCAAACTGGGTTTTACTTCTACTTATTTAATTTTTAACTCTTTACTTAAACTTTCCCGTAGTTTTTATTATTTCACCTGAATAATATTTAGTTTTCTTTCTCCCAATCACAACTTTTTATTCTCAAAAATGTAAAACGAAATTAATTTTTATAAATAAAAAAATTCAGTCTGAACATAATTGTTCTTGTTTTTAATTTTCTGGCAGAATTTTGTCGACGTTAATTTTTACTAGAAAACTTCTCTTTGCTTATTATAAATCCAATGACTGCATCTTCCTCCTGCCTACGTTCTCCAAAAACATCTCTCTCTTTTCGTAATCATCAAGCCTCTAATTTCCTCCAAAATGGTTTGAAAAGTCGAAAACCCGCTTTCCTTGACTGCGTAGAAACCGTCGCGTGATCTCAGGTAAAATTAATTAATGCGTCTGTGCGTGGGTTACGTGCTTCTGGTCAGTCAAGGGCTGGTAGGGCAAGGGCTATCGAGCTTATAAAAGCCACCCGGCGCGTCTCATCCTAACATTCTTTCTTCGGTGATTTCGGTGTTTGGGTGTTCGGAATATGACCGCGATAAACTGGATACTAATGGTAAGTTTCGTGCAACCAAAGAAGAATTCTCACACTTTATTCAGGTCGTGGTGGCGGCGCTCTCCTCCACCGCCTCCGCTTTCTTCCTCAACTGGGGAGCCTCAAACCAAGAAACGTAAGTTTTTGCTTTTGGAACTCCCAATCTCCTTTAAGACGATTTTTCACCCAGAAATCCGCCCTACCCAGCCTATTACTACCACCAGCGGGTCCTGCAGGCGCCCACCGGATACACGGAGCCCCCGATTCCGGCGATTCCGGTGCAAGTACCGCTCCAGGCACAACTCACTCCTGCAACCGTGCATAACGTCCAACTTGTACCGTGTTTATGTCCGGTTTCGCAGGATTACGAGTTGGAGAAAAACTCGCAGGAATTTTTCAACCAACACAAAACCAACTGAAGAATTTTTCTTCGTAGTTTTGGACCTCAAGACTGACGCACGTTATTTTTGTCTTTAATTTATACGTATATAAATATTTTTATTATTACGCACTAATTTAAATAATAAAGTTATTATTTATTGACTGAACTTCCGGTTTTTTATTCAGGACAAAAATCCGGATTTTAATGTTACGAAACGTATAAAAGCGCAAAATGGCCCAAATTTAATTCAGAGTGCAGTGACAATGTCTTGGATCAACTGTTTGTGGTTTTTAATTCTTTTTATCAGCCTTGAAAACGCAGTTAATGGGCAAAGGTAAACGCAATTTTTTTGAAAAATATCCCAAAAACTTTTTTTAGCACTTTGCAAGTTGTCTACCATCCTCGGCGCCACTTCGACTGGGTCAAACACCTCAAAAATCATGAACGACACAAATACAAGTCGTTCACGAAACGTTTCAGGAAATGCGGTTTTCCCCCTTACAAACTGAAATTTTTCAGAAGATCGGATTTAAATAATTTAGACACGATTCAAGTGATCGTCCCTTACGGCTACTCTGGCGAGTACTTCCCCCAGCGCCCCCATAAAATAATTCCAATTGAGACTAGAAGTCATTCGAGTAAGACAGGCGACTAGGTGTCGAATTTCCGGTTCTAGTCTAGCTCTCATGTGCGAAATATTGTAGTTTTTAGAAATAATAAAGGTCTTTGACTTGGAGTATGAGTTATTTTTGCGGACTTTCTACACGAAATGCATCGTCGGGATTAAAAAAATGCATAATTTAGGAGAGGGTAACGATCCATGAGCAATTATGGTAGAAATTTACTAAATAATTAATGAAGACTTTCGGAAGATTCAATTGTGTTCCTGTGGCACGGTTTCGTAATGAGATTTGTTCTGCGACTGATCGATTTGATTTTTTCTAATTGGAGTAATTGCATAATTGGAATTATTAAAAAAACGAAGATAGTACAAATACAAAGTGTTACGTTACGGGACATAAGCAGCAATTATTCGTGCATTAAGTGTTTTAAATTTGATTTAAATTATTTTTATTAGAATTGTTTTTGCGGTCTGGATTCGGCTGGACGTTTCATCAACAATTAAAAATACTGCCTTTCACATTTTTTGCATATTGTTTATTATTATTGTTTCTAATTTGATTTTAAACGTCTTTCCACTTATTTTTTTGATCAGTCCACGCAATTGGACTTTCTACACATGTAAAACATGTTTTGGAACATTCAAGCAATTTTGTTGCTAAAATAATTGACATTGAAAATAAATTTTACATCAAATTCTCATCATCACATCATTCTCATTCTCACCATTCACGACGCTACTAATAATACATTGAATGACATTGCAAATGTCACTTTTATAAAGTTTAGAATAGAACCACGTGACCGAAATAGTTAGAATAACTATGCAACCAATTAAAATCTCCAAAACTGTTATTGGTGCAAAAGTCACGTGGTTTTTAATTATTAATAGAAACACTGTGTTTGACAATTTTGTTTTTGGAGTACAAAAAAAAAACACTTTTTAAAAGCTGCTTTAATAAAAGGTCAAGTTTTTCTAACAAAATTTTATTATTTTCTGATACATTTGTTAGCCAAAGTTTTCATGATTTTAAACACCACATTTTAATTATCTATTATTTGGTCTACTCGTTGAAAAAAATAACAGAAATTAGAAAATAGATTTTACAAAAACTAGAGAGATGTAAATGTAGAGAGATGTAAATGATTTCAACAATTTTTTAATTGTTGTTGTTCTATTTCTAGTGTTCCTCGGTATATAACTCAGTATATTACCTTTTCTAGAGCTTTGTAACCCTTAGAAGACAATTACCAATAGCGTAAAAAACATTTAACAAACTAGCAAATTCAACAATAAATTAAATGTAATAAAACCGGAAACAAAAAAACTAAGATGCATACATGATAATACGAAAAATTACAATTGTTTTATTTAAAAAAAAGCTTGAAACAAAAATCTGAATTCATTTTTATTTAGCTGAAAGTCTTCTATCACCATTCGAAAGTTGGTCCGACATTTTTGAATCACCCTGTAGACAAACATTTTTTTTTAATAAAATATAGTAAGTCATATACAGAATGAATTATAAAAACGCCCCCAGTCATAATTTCATTACTCTTAGGGTCGATTCATAGAAGCCGAAATAAAAATTCGTTGTTAAAAGTTAATGCGCGATTAACCCGTGAATCTGAGCATTTAGTTGGTTCAATTTAGTCACGTGATCAGTTAATCTGACGTTTGATTACAACTAACTATAACGATGCTTCTATAAACCGACCCTTAAAAATATTACAATGCTTCTATGACGAAAGTTGAAAAGTTTTTTGTTATCAGTCGTTTGCTTGTCTTCTGTTCTATTGTCTTTCTATTCCTTGCACAGCCTACTTTGTTTTATTAATTTTCAAATTGACAAAAAGAAATAATTACTGATAAATAATAGTTAGTGAGCTTGTTGAAAAACAATTTAACTAAGAATCCAAAAATAATAATATACAGTGTGTTACATTTAAAAAACTGAATTTGATGTCATTTCCGGTGAAACATGAGCATCTACCCCAAAAAATAGATGACAATAAATTGAGCAACATTGTTCTAAGAAATTTCATATCTTTAAAAATAATGTGATTTTCGTAATCCATCCTGTACCTACCTATAATAATTAGCCAATAGCCAATAATATTTTTTACTCTGCAATAACCACAAAAAAATGATTTTTATTTTATATTAATTTACACAAAAAACATAAAACCTCAAAGTAAGTAGTTGAAAAAAATAAAAAAGGAGTGCAACAGGAAAAATAATTTGTTTTAAAAATGAATTTTTTTAACGTCTTGTATAGCTCCAAATAAACTGTTTTACTGAAAAAAAACTAGTTAAATGCTGAGTTAATGAAGTTAGTAGCTATTTTGCTAATTAAATGAGTGCTTTACAACAACAAAAAAATAAGTAAGGAGACAGTGATTATACTAGCAATTATTTTTTCTAGTAAAAGAAAATAATTAAGAAAGTATTAAATAAAAGAATTACCTTAACTTTCGTCTTGTAAAGTTTTTGCAGGATGTCTGCAACGAAGTAACGTAATAACACTCTAATCTGAGTAGTTGATGGTAGGATTAAATTTCTTTTTTTGACATAGTAAAAGTACAAACCATGTACAAATTTTTGGTAGTGAATTTTAAAAATGATTGATGTTTGGTGATCCAAAAACGTGATATTAAATGTATAGAAAGTTCAAGAGCATCGATTGATTTAAATAAATTTGCATAAAAAAATAAACAAAAAGATTTGAAAACAGGAAGAGTGTTTGGAACTAAATTTTCAAATAAGTACAGAAATAGATTGAAGCATAATTTTTTCGAAATGAAATGAAACCGAAGAATCCAATTATTGTTACCCTTCACTTCTTTTCCGAATTGCTCTAAAAATCAATTGCATAATTAACATAATCTATTTGTAGTCGAAACCCAAAGCGTACATTCACTCATTGTGTATCGCGATTGGAAAGGTAAGCACCGTGTAAAAAATAGTAAATTATAACACCGCACAATTATATAACTTGATTGCAACAGGAAGTACGGAAGCAATCTTCTTTTTATCAAAGAATATTAAATCATTTCCTATAAATTCCAACAAAAAATCATCATTCTAGTTCATGGAACTGTTACATAACTGGTACTAAAGGGTTTTAGCCCTTGTAAACCCTTGGAAAAAATTCAAAAAAAAACGGAAATTGCCCGGTACACCCCCCATTTTTTCCCACACTTGCACAAACCCAGAGAGAGCGAATTTCACCCATCGCTTCCTTCAATGGAACGTCGCCCCCTTATTACTATAAAAGCCCAGCTTTTGCCAAGTCACTATCAGTCCAGCAATCGTCCCATACGCACTCGCACCATGAAGATAATAGCTTGGGTAAGGTCAAATCTCATGGGTTATGATGGGTCTTATTTTTGCAGTTCTTTTGGTGCCTCGCTGCCATCGTCGCTAAAGTGTCAGCAGGAGGACATGGGGGTCACCATCACGTCAAGTTTATTATTCCGTACCATCACAAGACCATCAAGCACACCCATACCATCCACAAGACCATACATCACAAACATGAGGGTGGCGGTGGCGGTCATGGGTTGGGACACAGCCATGGGGGAGTCCCCAAAGGATGGCATTAGAGTAGTGTCTCTTTTTCTCTTGTGATATTCCTCAGTTCTTTGAAAAGTGAAGCAGACAGATTTTTGTAATGCTTGCTTTTCGACCATGTTACCTTATAGTATTATTGTTTCATTTTTGTTGTTGTTTGTTTTGTTTTTTTGTATATAGTTTTTACTAATCTCTATGTAATCAATCTGTGTTTTCTTCAGCCACTGTACAAATTATCTTGTATTTTATCTACTAATAATAATGAAAGAAAATAGAGAGTTTGAAATTGTTTTATTTCAAATTCATGCTCCAGTAGAATCGTCTTCAATTTCCATACAAAAATTTAAATAGCAAGGAACTAATCGTATTTTCTGCTAATTATAATTTCGTTGGTGGTTTCTCAACGCTTTCTTTTTTATGTGTGATTAAATTTTTTTACTTTGAAATATCAATATCAATATATACTTCTTTTACTTTGAAATATCTCAAGAATTATTTTTTCTCCAATCGGATTTAAACCAGTCATTTTATAATGTCATTTTTGAAAGATAAAATTGACGTTTTTATAAAAATACATTTTACATTTTACCATGACAATTGTCACCTTTTAATCCTAGTCTTAAAAACTTTTTTAGTTATATTTTAACTTTTAGAGTGCCAAAAAAAATATATTTTATGATCAGCTACCTAAAAGTAGTGTGTTATTGTTACCTTACTACAAAAACTAGACAAAACGAAAATTACAGTCAAATTTAAAAAAAAGTGGTCGTCAATGTCACATTTTGACATAAAATTAATTATTCCTGTGTAAATAAGCGTACTTAAATTTACAAAAATAAATTACTTGGCATTATAAAGTTTGGTAATTTGTCATCAAATCAAGTTTGTTATAAAAATTATTTATTATTGATTTATTACTTATTAATTTTTGAAATGACATTGACGACCACTTTTTTCAAATTTGACTGTAGGTAGTTCTTTTATTTAATAATAAATAAATTATTACTATCAAAAATAATTGCTATTAATTCATTTATCACTATACATTTTTAATTGTTGTAAAACACTCAATTAATTAGCAAAACAGATAAAACAGTCTGTTTGAAAATCATAACGTTAAAGAAATTCATTTTTAAAACAAATTATTTTCCTTAATGCACTATTTTTATACAAAAGTGAATAAAACCAAACGTTTTTTGCTTAAACTATTTATTTTTAAAATAACTAATTGATGAATGATACAGTACTATAAAATGTGACGTCCTAGAATAAATTTTTTCATTTTTTTTTGTTTTTAAATTCTACAAAATGTTTAATTTTTTGAAATGGCAACCTACTGTATTTTTTTTACTAGGAATATATTATGATCTAAGGATTGCACTATCTAAATTATTTTTATTCATTTTGAATTGTCATTTAAATAAGAAAAAAAAAAACGCAAAACACAAACCTTCATTTTCAAAACACGATCACACTTTAGTATAGCACTTTAATTTTTATTATTATTTTCTCAAAGCAAGTAGTTTAAAAAAACGCTTGATTTGATAGTTTTCCATTCACCTTGTACATTTTTTGTTTTGTAAAGACTGACTTTTTTAAATTTTTTGTGAGGATTAATATAAATTAAAAAGCTTTTTTTATTATTGCAGGGTTACAATGACGTTTTTAGAAAAAGGAAAAAAAATTGTTACCATGGCAATTCTCACTTTTAGTCCTAGACTTAAAAAAAAATAAGTCTAAGATTAAAAATGAATAATTTTTGCATTTCATTTTTAATTCTAAAAAACAATTTTTTATTTCTATTCAAATAATTTTGAGCGAATAGAGAAATAGTAGCTTATTTTATTTATCGGCTTAAAAGTGAGTTTTTTGTCTCGCAATTTTGTATCTGCTTGGCTACAAAAAACTGACACTTTCAATTCTAATAAAAATAAGTATAAAAAAACTTTATAAGTGCCTTCTTTAATTCGAATTTTATGTAGCGCTATTGTTATGCACCAAAGAAAAATGAGTTTTTTTCTTATTAATTTACAACTACATGTTTAATTTTTTTAATATTCTCTGGTACAATAAATATTGAATCATATTCCATCTTTTGAAATTAATATTCCTTAAATTAAAAGTGATGAAATTTCAAAAAATTTAGTTTATATTCCAGGACCAAATGTAACTTTTTTCAAATTACAACTTACAATTTTTTTCTTATTTGTCTTACTAAATGCATTAAAACTTTTTTTGACGAAAACATGTCAGGAATTTTAATAAAATTATAGTCTCAAACTCGCTGCTTCATTTAATCGAATTGAATTATAAATCATAAAAAATCTTTCTCGTTCTTTGAAAATGCTTTTGCCTCCGGGTTTCATTTGATGACCTATTACTGAACTTTATCCAAAAACTAAAATTGAAATTTTTCGTCGGACAATCGCCCCAATCCCGACTTATTAAGATTTCGTTGTGGCTCAACCAACATCCCGAAATAAATCACGGGCAAAGGCGCCGATCTCAATCTAACCCACCATCACGAACCACCAGAATTATAACTTATCGTCCACATTACCAATGATACCTCACATATATCAGCCATGCACAGAACCGACTCCCCAATTACTATCATTTCTCCCCGGATCATACTCGCCCGATTTACATAATCACTATTTATTATAATGTGTATAAATGCTAGCTAATTAGCCGCGTCTAATTTATCTTTGCTTTATAATCATGGGAATTGAGCACCGAAAGGGCCACAATCGTGTGACAAAGAATCATTAAGGGGGCCGGAATTCCTGAAACTGAAACGCTCATTGAACAAACAACAGGCACTTGTGACCACCTAATTGACGCACGAACGCTCATCAGAGGAACAAACAACCCTGAGCCACTGAAATTAGACATCAATCAACGAAACCTGAAACAAAAATACAAGACTCAGACCTGAAGTCTGTTTTTTTTTAATGAAAATGTCAAACAGTCTTAACGTTGATACCACTAATAAATTCATTCATGGTAATTTTTTGAATTAATTTGAAAACGATGTGATTAAACGTCAACACAAAAAATCGGCTAAGAAAATTTAGAGACAAAATACCAAAAAAAGAACAAATTCGGTACCGCTAACAGTTGTTAGAAATTTGGAAACGAATAGTTCGCAAGTAAGAAGTTAGAAAAAGGGCCCTTTAAAATGTAGACGCCATTTGTAATGCAGGTTTGCTACACATTTTCAATTTTTAGCAAAAATACAAAATAAACATGAATGAGAAAAAACCTCGGAAAGAACGCAATTAAATTAGTGTCTTGTGCATCGTTTTTGAGGAACGAGTTGAAAAAGTAACAATTTTGAAACTAAAGCTGAAGAGGAATTTATAAAATGCATCAACTTTGTACTCATTGCAATAAATTACACAAAATTTATTGCCAATCATCATAATACCTATTTGTGTCTTTTGCTAATTAACTTTTTTCTGTATATACATCCTTTTTGTTCAAAGTTTTTGTAGCAAGAACCTCATTTTTGTCCACAACATTGTACAGGGTGCTGCATTTTGGATGTCCGAATAGGGAATCTCTGAAACTAAGAGGAAAAAAGAAAAGAAAAAAAAAGGAAAGAGGAAAAAAGAAAACGAGTGATACATTCTGGGCTCATTTTTTGAGAAAATAATATTGGTTAAAACCGCATCCCGCTATCGTCTTTTGTTTTCGACTTACAGACAAAAGTTGACATTTTGGCGAAATCTAAAAAAAAACATATCTTCGTTATTATAGAAGACATACAGGCACTTTTTACGAGGAATTTAAAAGTTAACAATTTTTTTCAGTTATTTGTTAAGCCGTAATAAGATAAACTCTTATATTTTTAAATGGAAATCATAGGCGGTTATGGCAATTTTAAAAAGCTTATTTTTTTCTGATATTAAAAATAAACATGGTGAATATAAAGTATGGAACCAAGCGGTTTTATTTTTAATCATTTGCTTCCAGAAAATAATAATTAATACAAATTGGAGTAATATAAAAAATGTGATCGTTTTTCAGAACGAAATTTTGTTTTGTTTTTGAGTTATGCGATTTTTTTTGTCAAAATTGCAATTTATGTAAAAAAATTTTTGAAAAAATTAAATATAAAGCAGGTACTTGTAATCCTTAGAGTATAGCGGTTATGAGAAAAATAATTTTATAGTGGGTTGCCATTTAAAAAAATTAAATTTTTTGTACAACTCAAAAACGAAAAATTTTATTCTTCTTAAATCATCACATTTTTATAGTACAGAGTGGTTATAAATGATTTTATCTAGCCAGCTTTGGAATTTTTTTGCATGTAACTTTATTTGTGCCGCTCTACTTTTTTGAAAGCTCTAGTTCTGTCATTAGTGTCACTTATTAATTAAAATTTTATTGTTTCAACAAATTTCCAATAATAATTGATAATAATGTATACTTTGGAAGAAAACAAGTTTGTATTTAAAGTCTATTTTCGAAGTGGACGCTTAGTAAACGGCGATTTTTTAATTTTGAGTTAAAACAAGTAGTTACCCCTTTTCTCTAAAGCGGCATTTTTTATTTTACATGGAAAATTCACAGCTGGCTAGATGAAAATCATTTATAACCACTTTGTACTTTATCACTCATCAATTAGTTTTTTCAAAAAATAAATAGTTTAAGCAAAAACGTTTGGTTCCATACTTTTTATTCACCTGGTATATTTGTAACAGACTTTTTTTTAATTATACTTAAAAAATGAAATACATATTTTGTTTGATAATAGTTGGCCATGAAAAAACTATTTCACTCCAAATGTGTAAATAATAATCAATAAGAGTTTTGTGAACTGTGAAATAGATGAAAAGATAGATAAAACTATAAAAATTTATTGAAGAATTAAAGCGGCTTTTTTTTACCAAACTCTATGTATCACTAGAAGTTACAATGGTAGGTAATGTTAGCTTGTTTAAAAACAAAGAAATGTTATTAATCGCCAATAAGTTGATTTACGATTTATTTTGCATTTTTTTCATTACTTAGTGCTTAGAAAATTCTTTCATTAGTGACACTGGTTGAATAATATAGTTTAAATCTTTTTAGTTGAAGATGCAACATTTTTTCATGGCCAACTGCGAACAAAAATTAAAGATAATTTTTTGCTAAAAATGTATTATAATAATTTGATACAAACATATATTTTTTAGATAAGAAAAAAACAAGCTTTTTAAAAATGACATACCGCTAAACAAACAACTGAAAAAAAATATTAACTACATTATTAAATTCTACGTAAAAAAGTGTCTCCACAATGTCTTTATTTCAATCTATGTCTTCTATAATAACGAAGATATAATTTTTTTTTTAGATTTCGCTAAAATGTAAATTTTTGTTTAAGTCGAAAACAAAAGACGATAGCGAGATGTGGTTTTAACCAATATTATTTTCTCAAAAAATGAGCCCCAGAATGTATTACTCGTTTCTGGCTAAACCTCTTAGTTTCGGAGATTCCCTATTCGGACATCCAAAATGTACTTACTTGCGGTGTGTTTCTATCAAAATTATTAGCACTGAATTCTGTCTTTAGACCTTAGGTAATGATGTTTGTCCTCAGGTATTTAATTATAGCGCTTTCAAAGAGCAAACAGGCACACAAGATTCATAAAAGTCAAAATTTTGACAACATCTTAATTTGAAACCATAACCATAATTTTTTAACAAAATTTCTAGAGACAAAAGGAAAAAGCAAACAAAATTTGTGGCTATGGAGACAAGCTGCTACCCATTTTTTCACCAAAATTTTGACTTGGTAATTTTCATTAAAAAAAAAAACAAACATTAGACTTAAACCAAATTTTTGATCAAAGTGGCCTATGTTTAAGTGTTGCCAACTTAATTTCAAAGTCACAAGCCACTTTAATAAAATACACAAGTTGACAGTTTGAGTATTTTATAATTGTGGGCCACCTCGGGGTCTCATTAGAGGCCATCACATTTGTTTTCGTGTGTGTGTTGTTGGGTCAGCCCCCCGTCTTAATTCAGTCGCTGTCGGCGTAATTTCTCGATTTTTAAATTAATATACATGTCACATATGTGGATAAGTGGGTAGCGTCAAGTTGCCTCGCCGGAGATTTTGTTTGGGATAAGAACGCCCCCAGCTATGCATCACCAAAGGAAATTACTTCCCAATCCTATTATCATTCCATTCTGAATGGAAAAAACAAGCCATAAAGTGGCTATCGACAAGACATGCGGTCAACGACTCGCATCAACATTTACATGATTCTTTACGGCCCGAAAAAGACATATCAACCCTTTTAACGTGCCATAAATTTCGATGTGCGCCGTAAGCCGGCTGTTAGAGACGGATAACGGTGATGGATGTCGGGAGATAACAAAAGGTGAGACATGAAGGACTGCTGACACCATACGAAAAGATGATGATGGAGTAATTCAAATGAATCATTTAACAGTTTTAACACAAAATGAAAAATTAATACATACAGGGTGACCCAGGGATGTGTGCAATCTCTATAACTTTTTTATATCCAAGCTTTCGACTTGATTTTTTTATATGGTATGTAAGTCCGCTAATGAAGCACATTTCAAAAATATTTTTGTTTAATACAGGATGTCCCAAAATTAGATACACAACTAAGTTCTGTTTTTTATAATGAAAACCTCCAATTTTTGCTACATTTTTAAATTTACCACTAAATTGTCGCTATAACGCACGCAGTTTCTTAGAATTATCTACAATATTTTTTAATATATTTATATTTGAACAAAAACACGATTAGCCCGTCACACCAAACTTTTATTTTAATAGCGTTTC